ATTCTGGAACTCTGTCTCAGGTGCCAGGTTATAATTTAGTCACCTCAACTCTTCCCCAGCCTCCAGGAAACCAACCACCACAACAGCCTCCATCATCACAGAAGGCATTACTATAGGATATAGGACTTTGGATTCCTAATCTACTCTAACCTCTGTGGAAGGCAGTTTACAAAGTTATGAGTTTATTTCTTTAATATCTTAAATATGGGTTATCCTTGGCTTAATAAGAATCTCTCTTGGTGAAGAAGTATGATGATTCTATTTGCACTGACTTTTCAGATTTTTGTTTTACCTTTGGAAAGGGAATTAAAATATTTAGAATATTTAATTCCTTTAAAATGCCTAAACATTGGTACAAAGTTATTTATGTCTGCTGAAATTGTTGAGTTTGTGAAGATCCAACTCAGCAAATTGTTGTGGCATATATGTAATGTACATACAATATGTTTGTGTTAGTGATTGTTCTGAATTACTATAGTGATCACGTGAATATAAAAATGTGTTAAAATTTACATTATTGTTTTATTAATCGTGAACCATGGTCATAGATGGACCATGTTCATGGATTTTATAAGAATGTTTGCTTTAACCCATATACTGTATGTCAAATATTTACAGGTTGTGGATATGTTATTGAACCTGAACTGCTTGGTTTTCATTAATAATACACTGAATGCAATTGTGTTGTTTTCTGCCTTCCTGTAGCCTGTGGATGCTATGAAATGACTATCTACCAAAGTAGGCTAGAATTTCAGACACTCTTCATTCAGAAAATGTTTTATGGTTATCAGTAATGGTTTCAAAACAATAAGTGGCAGGCTGCTAAATTTATGGAACCATGAAACAACTGTTTTATCTTTACTGTTTAAATGATATGACTTACATTTTCATGCTAGTTTTATGTAACCTGCTGAGTGGGACACTTTGGATGTGAATGAATGACATTTCTAAACTGGAATAATGAAAACACTACATTTATTAAAGTCTTGTTAAAGGCTGCCATCATTGCCATTTTTCTTGACTGTGTGTTTTGTAAAAAAAACTCTCTTTATGGTCTTTGTTGAATTATTATTCTTGTAGTCTTATGGGGTAGAGAGCAATTTCAATTATCAATTTCAGGGACAGAGAAATGCTCAAAGATCAAGTTTTATTAAGGAATGAAATAATTTAACTACTCATGGCTCAAGTTGGGCTATATGAATATAGTCCTGAAATTTATTACCTGATTCAGCAGTACAGTCATCCATAGTTAATGGAACTAGTTTGTTGGTTTCTCTGACAAATATTCTTCTGAATTGAGAATTGCTTCTAAAAATACTTTACTAAGCAGCAACTTCTACATTCTTTTGGATTCTTTCTTAAGTTGCGGTGTGTAGTTTTGGATATTTATTTATTCATTTTTAAATAGGGCATTAAGAAAATTACAGTTATGTTTATACATTTTTCAAACCATTTCTTTAAGTTTCTAGAGCTACAGCCACTTACATTTTAGGTATAGTTAGAAGCTAAACACAGGAAACTCATTCTTTTACTTTCCAGTAGCAAAACATGTAGGGAGCCAAGATTTGCCATGATTTTGATTAAAATAGAAACTTCCAATCAGTTTCCTGCTCAATTTGCAATGATCAATCAACTCAACTGTCCTCAACAACAGCTCTCCTTATTAAAAATGACCATTACTTGCTTGGGGTGCTTATAGGGACTGAACCTTAATCAAAATATATATCTTTTATTTATTCAGCTTCAGTTTTATTAATACACAATGCTAAATATACTTGCCTTTAGGAGTAAAGCCTATTTAATTCAAACCACTTTAAAACTCATGAAAACATTGCATTTTTAAAATATGACCTTGTTACATGTATATTTATCACTATATATTTAACAAATATCATTAGAATATATAAGTACCAATTGAGTTTAGGAACCGTTGCTTTCTTCATTTTGATTATGATCTTTCAGTATTTTAATTGATATCCATATAACTCTTATTATTTGCTGTTTTGTTGCCTATTAGGCTAGTTTAAAGAAAAGGATTTACAGGTCACTGAGTTAAAAATATTTCAGTGTGTCCTATTTGCAAGCTAATGCATATTATCTATATGAATAAGTAGCACAGGTTTTATTGCGTATCCTTGTGAAGAATCTCACTTCCCTCCATTGTGAAAGCTTCCCATGTATTCCTGCTCTGTATTTCCTGTCCTTTCACCAGTTGCTAATCTATAACCTTCTGGTACTCCAGATAAAGTTCTGAAACTTTTGCTGGATTGAATTTGTCAACAACCTTAACATAGCTTTTAACAGAAGAAAAAATAAGAAAAATTAACGAACATTTAACCTGAGAACAGAGATACTGAAGATAAGTAATTAAATCTTCCGATTTTTTAAAAATACTTATATATTAAATTGAACTATGTATAATAATTTATTCAGATGCCTCAGGTTTTTGGAACAGCATATTGAAAATGGTACTTAAGAATAATTGGATGAATATAAAATTAAAAGGGATATAATTCATCAATAGAATAAACATTTAATTAAGCCATGTACCTAAACTACTGCTAGTTGGACTACTTCAGCTTTTCCCTTTTCCCTGGAGTTCATTCTAAAAAAGTATATTTTCCATAAATATGGGAAAGGTGGAATAAACAACACTATATGATGTCACTTTCAAATTGCACACAGACTAAAAAAAAATCAAGCCTGAAAAGTATAATATTGTTAATACTTGTTTTTAATTTGAATTTACATACTGATTTTAAAATTACAAAATTGGCAGAAAATTCCCCTAATTTAATTGGAAAAGAGAAGTTGAACACAAATCTGTACATTTCCACAGCTTGTGATAGCTGATCTCAGTTGTCAGAATAGTTTCAGTGTTATAGTTCTCCCTAGGAGCATACCAATAAAATAAAAATTTTCATGAAAAAAAATTAATTTCTTGTGTGTATTCATCTTTAATTCTCATGTGTAAAAACTGAGCTGCATAATTTATCATATTAGACAGACAGACAGATAGATAAAATATTTATATATATGTGAATAAGCATTTATCTGGAGTTTCTGAACTTTTTTCATTATTTTGCCATGGAACGTTTTCAGAGATTTTGAATCCTTCTGATGATTAATCTGTGTAAAAAAACATCAGAGCCTGGTGCTTTTCTTTATGAAGTATTATGGAATATTATGCTGTTTGTCAGCATAAAAAGTACTTATGCTCAGTAATTGGTTGTATCAACTTAGCGACGATAGCTTTGAATGCTTCCTTGAACTGGCATGTAGAATTTTAGCCAATTCCTCCATTGTGAATTGATTCAGCTCAGTAATACTGCAGTGGCATAACCTCAACCAGTAGTTAATGCAAGAAAGCCCTCAAGTATTCAAGAATCAGGCTTACACTTTTTAACAGAACTGTTTCTTTATTTACAAATAAAGACATGTAACATGATGTGAAACTGCAAATTACTTCACTAGCATTTAATTCATAAACATCTAGGTATTAATTGTCTTAATTGAAGTTTTGATTCATCCCTTGCCTAAGTCTGCAGTCTCGTTCATTTTGTGCTAGGATCCCTCGATAAGCTCATTGTCTGTCAGAACAAGGTGTATGGTAATTTACGGATTTTTTTTTCCTGTTCAACATCTTTTTGGACAAGATCTACCTCGTCATTAGAATTTCTTTATAACCCTAATATAATTAACTAGATTACAAAATTCAATTTTAGATTTTTGAAAGAATAAGAACAATTGGGTATTTCCATTACTAATTTAGTTTTTACTATATTTCGTTGTTGGCATATTTCCTGCACATTAAGGAACATCGGTGGGACAATCCTGCATCCATGTAAACTCATAAACTTCACATAGTATTAAGAAGAAATGAAGATTGATTTCCTGTAACTACTTCAGAAAGCTATCTGAAATTACCTAGGCAAAATAATTTATCTTTCATTTTTTGCTAAGATGATTGTATGATACTTGACAATGGATTGAATGTTATCTATGTCTTTTCAAGATACAACTTTAATTTTTTTTTAAAAAAAATCCATTTAAGCAGAAAAGGCAGGACATTCCCTGAATTGAATTCTAAAGTCTGATTGAGGTTTGCTTTGTAAGCACAAAGAACCCTTTTTTGAGATTGCATGCCTAACTACTCAAAAATATAAATAAGCAAGCTGGTTTTCTTCATTTCCCCCCCCCAGATCTAATGCTATTAAGTAGAACTGTCTTTAAATGCACATATCTTATGACATTTTAAGTCATGCTTTTGCTATTTATCCATCAGATTTAGAAACTACCCATCTTTCAAAGAGGAATCCATATTTCCACTATTGTTGGATAACTTGGTGTAAATAACTTTGGGATTCTCAGTAGCATAACTATAACTGAATGTTACATATCAAGGTATTAACAGTGGTATTTTCAAAATTGTTATTAGGCGCTATAGCAGGGATGAAATGTTCCCGGTTCGGACCGGATTGCCCAATCCGGTAGCGATGGCGGCGGGTGGTTCAGAGAACCAGTAGCAAAAATCCCTGCACGCACACACACACACCCATGCCCAGTTGAGCCGCGCGATCATCAGAGGCTTTTTTTTTTTTACTTTTAAAAGCATTTTTTCTACAACCTCTTCGGCCGAAAAAATGCTTTTAAAAGTAAAAAAAAAAAAACGCCTCTGCTGATTGCGCGACTCAGCTGGGATTGTCAGAGGCTTTTCAAAGCATTTTTTTCTGCAACCCCTTCAGCTGAAGAGGTTGTAGGAAAAAATGCCTTGAAAAGCCTCTGGCGATCCCAGCTGACTTGCCTGATCATCAGAGGCTTCTAAAAGCATTTTTTTCTGCAACCTCTTAAGGTTGTAGAAAAAATGCTTTTAAAAGTAAAAAAAAAAAAGTTGGCCATGCCCACCCAGTCACATTAACCCCCCCACATACACACCAAGGCACACCCACAGAACTGGTAGTAACAAATTTTAGATTTCACCCCTGCGCTATAGTACTCACAGTTTCAGCAAATAATGTTATTGGAATCATTTTTGGTGTTTGATGAACTGTAAACACAATTGAATGTGCCTCCAGAAAGTAATTGTTTATCCTTCTAGCAAAATTCAGAATTCGATGAATAAATTCATGCAATCCACACTCTATTGATAGAAACACAAGGTAGGTAGGTGTTGGAACTATAATTATAGAGTAAATTATCTCGGAGAGCAAAAGTGGTCATATCTTAAGAGGGTAAGCAAAAAATGCCCTGAATAATAGTCAATCTGGCAGAGATAGCAGTGTGTACATATGAGAGCGACATTTTTATAACTCGGAATACAGCAATTAGTCATACATATATTCATTTTTATAAATGTAATATTGAGATCCACATTAATTTTCTTAAATCTAGTCTAAAAAGAGTTTTGGATTCCCAAGAGTAATGTTTATCAACCTCACTAACTTCGAGATGTTAACTAACTTCCCCAGCCCCTGCTCTAGACAAAGGGAGAATGTGAGATTTTATGTTGGGAAATAAATTATAGTGTTCTTGAACCAATTATTTCATGTAGTAAAACTGAACAGCACTTTAGAAATAATGTGGAAGGGACCACAAACACTGCCTATCTGCAACTCTTTAAAGCAGCAGTCCTCAACCTTTTGGGCACCAGGGACCAGTTCCATGGAGTGGGTTTTTTCGCAGACCAGAGGGGGCGTGGTTTTGCATGCTACCTGCATCTTGCAAATGGGACTTTGCTTGTTTGCACGGCCCAGTTTTTGGCACACCGTGGACAGGTGCTGGTCCACGGACCCGGAGTTGGGGACCCCTGCTTTAAAGCATCCACATCTTTTGCCAAGATTGAGCTGCCATTAATCCCAGGAAAATGCACAGCTGCATGCAGGAGTTACAAACAGAGGCATTCTTTCCTCCTCCAAAGGAGCTTTGAGGAACATAATGCACAGCTTCATTCACCAAAATAACCTAATATCTAATAGATAAGTATTTCTGTTTTGCCAAATATAGAACTCCGGTTCTCAGTGTTAATGTTATTCTAACTTTCTTTGTAGCAAATCTCACAATATTCTCTCCTTGCTGAAAATGTAAAAGGAAACAAAAAGAACTAGTTTGGATGAGTCCTGATGAATGGTTAGTATGCTTAAAGCATAACATAAGATATAATTTGTAGGGTTGTATGGTGCTTTGAGTCCAATTTAAAAAAAATGCTTCAGAACAAACAGCAATGCAAACATAGCACCTGTCTGCCACCTTTTAAAGTAGCCTCATATTGTGTTGAAATAAATATTTCTGGGAGATACATCTGCTGTAAAAAGTTTTTTTTAAAAATTAAATTTACCATGGTGAACACTTTGCTTGCAATAACTATTTGTTTAAAAGCAAATTATATTTTATATTTTTTTTCACTATAAAACTTTCATTGCATATTTTGTTACTGTTTATGCTATAAAATATTAAAGTTTAGATGTTTCTTTTGTCTTGTATGTTGTATATGATTTAAAAGCTTCTATCTGGCTAAGAACCTTTGAAAGTAAGTTTAATGCAGGGTGCTAAAATTGGGTATTGTCAGACAATCTCATAGATTTTTTTTTCTTCTCTCATTCAAAACAAGGACAACAATGCAAAAAAAGTAGTAAACATAAAATGTATTAATATGACCCCAAATTTAGAGATGATTGGGAAAATTAAAGTATGTTTTGGGGCAACATAAAAAAGGACATCGCATCAGGACATGGGCAAGAGTTTGTGTCTCCCTGGATCTACAAGGGCAAAATCTCTGCAAATAAGGATCCCCCTAAAATTTTCCCACCATCAATGCTGAAGAGACTTATCCCAGTGGGCTCTGGAAATGGTATATCTATATTTGTTTAGGGTTAGATTGTATAGATACACTGATCTATTTAAGTTTGCCAATAGAATTCAGGAGCTCTGGGCTATTTGGGCAATCAATGTCCATAATTCTTTTATTATTCATTTGGGCTTCTCTAAGATTAATTGACCTAAATATTCAGATGAGAGGCCAAGACTACAAATGACATCGGTAGCTGTCTGTTGACAACAGAAGCATCAGATTCTAACTCCTGAGATTAGAATTGAATATTAGCTTCTAGCCTAAGACTGCATTAGTCACACATTTTGGCATTCCCAACTAAGTCCTAAGGAAATTTAATTGAATAGTTTCATAAGACCTTAGGTTAATGTATGGATCAAGTTGTATCCCTTCTAACAGTTGGACAACTGTTTCAGCTGTAAATAATTTGATTGCTATTGTAATGTAGTTTGCCCCGTTACCTATAAAATTTAGTTATTACTAGTGCACTCTTTTTGGGAGTAGAAGTGGAATAATGTACTTGGCTGTTGATTTCCTAGAAATACTACACCCAAGTATTAAACCATTTGACTTGCTCTAATTCATGGGAATCAACTGTCCAAAAAAGTAAAACTAACAGGGAAAAAGGAAGCTGCCAGGGTTCTTAGTACTCACTTCATTCTATGAGACAATTGCATTGTCAGCATAGAGTAGATTTTGGAGACGTCAATTAGCTATTTTAGGCACATGAATATCAACTCTCTGAAAGATTTTAATCAGACAGTTCATAAGATATGTTAAAAAGCAATGGTGATAAATTACATCCTTGTTTTACCACTCCCCCACCCCCACCCTGATAACCTGGATAAAGTCAGAAAGATCCTCTACCTGGCTATATCATATGCTAAGCCAATTTTATTGTATAGCTCATAAATTAGGACCAAAAATCCTGACAGAAAGGTTCAAATTGGATAAAAAGTGCTAAGGATTTGACTTTGTTAAAAATGAATGGGAACTTTCATTATCTGATAATGATGAACATATTATTGCTAAGATTTGTAAAATGTTATTGAAATTGAATTTGGAAAATGAACATGTAAACATTGTATGATTCAGTGGGCAAGAAATTTTGGATATAATGTGATGCTTGAACAATGGGAAAATATGTGGACGAAGGGTTTAAAATTTACATTAAATTATAATCTAAAAGAGAATTTCTATAATATGATGCATTGTTGGTATTTAACACCAGTTATCCAAGATGTATAAAGGCATGTCAAATGAATGTTGGAAGTATAAAAATAAAGAAGGAACTTTTTATCATTTATGGTGGACATAAGATAAAGCAAAAAAAAATGGAGTATGATTCATATTTTAATACAGAAAATTCTAAAAACGGAGATAAAAATGAAACCAGAACTTTTTCTTTTGGGCCTCATGGAAAAAGAATTGGAGAAAAAAATTGGAACTTTGTTACTATATATGTTGACAGCAGCAAGACTATTTATTGTATATGCAAAAATGGAAGGATACTTCAATTCCTACCATGGAAGAATGGTTGCAGAAGTTCATGGCATTGGCGTAAATGGCAAAACTGACTACTTTGATTAAAGAAAAGAACGTAAGTACTTTTGTTTCCACATGGAAACCGCTTCTGAACTTCATGCTTGATGTGGAAAAGAATGTAACTTTCACTTTGGGTTTTACAGATTAGATTGAAAGATCTTTATAGAAATGACTTGTTCCTACAATTATGGAAAAGCAAAAAGCTGTGATTTGATGTTAATGCCTTATTTTACTGTAACAGAGAGCCGGAAGTCAACACTTCTTTTTCTTTATTTCCCCCTATCTTTCTTCACTTCACTTCCCCATTTCCCCTCCCCCCTCACTGTTCTTCTATTCACTTTTGTGTTTTGTATTTTATAATACTCTATAACGTAATAAAAAAAGTAAAATAATAATAATAAATAAATTAGGACCAAAAGTTTTATGGCTACATAGGATCTGCTTAGAGTGTCCCAGAATCTAACAATCTTCATATTCTAATAGTAACATTGTTGATAGCATATATTTAAGTAACCATATAAGATTACTAGATTCTAGTAACTAAATGCTCCATAAAGGCCTGCTAGAACAGAAGAGTGGTATAGCTAAGCTGGCATCTGTCTGGAGCCCCTTAGATGCCTATTCAGCAAGAGCTTCTGAATATGGGGATCCAAAATATCAACCTAATCTATTTACTTTCATATGACTGAATGTGCCTGGGTTAATAATAGATAAAATAGTCTCCTCAGGCAGGGATGGGAAGCTTTTGGTGGTCTTGAGATACATTTAATGATATCATTTCTTTGAATTCATTGGAGAAAAAATACATAATGAAAACATCAAAAAGAGTCTGTTAAACTAATCAGCTAACTCCAAGAAAATAATGTAAACCTAATCTTCATGGTATTACATGAATGTAATCCAGTTAGATCTGTTGTGGAAGCACCAAAGTCAATCAATCAATCAATTTATCATTTACATAATTTCTGTAATTGCCCAACTCAACCAAGTGAGTTTGACAATTTACTTATCTAGTCCTATTGCCTATTGCTGCTTCAGCTTATATGGAATGATCTAAAAATGTCACAGCACCTTAGTAAGTGTGATTTTGGCAGAAGGGACCATGGAGCACTAGGTACTTCCTGGAAATAGGTCAGGAATCCATGTTGCAGAAGGTAGTTCTGTATTGCTAAAGCCAGTGGGAGCATTTGAGTGGACTATTGGCTGTCTGGTCTCATTTCTACAACACAACCCAAAGTGGAGAAGATGAGTGTTATGGTGGGGAGGTGATAATGTAAAATAGATGGAGCATCAGCCAAACCTCTAAAATCTAATAGATCCTTGATGGAGACAGCAGCAGGGCAGTGAGACTGAGAAATTGAGTGATTTGACTAATCAAGTAGACAAAATAATGACAGTGGTAGCAGGATAGTTAAAGCAAGGAAGCAGCCAAAATAGGAGGACTAAAGCCACCAGAAGGCATTAGGTGAAAAGCACTACTGCCAATAAAGGTATGAAATTCAAGTGAAATTATCATTTTTGGAGGGACCAAAACTGAAAGTATCCAGTTATGTATTTTATGAGATGGAATAGACAAGAAATAAAATAATGTGAAGACTAGAGTGGTCAAAATATCAGGTAATATCAACAGCAATTCATAATTTACCTATCATAAATTATAAAACATTGCTTCTTGAAGGGTGGTTTTTCTATTTGGAAATGACAATGGAGTTGTTTGATTATCTGGCCTTTGGGATATTTAAGTTTTGGATCAAAAATAGGTCAGTTTTTCACTTCAGCTTTTGTAGTTTTCTGAACAGAAGTTCTCCATACTTCTGTATTGTATAACTCAAATGTTCTGCTTTTAAGAGCTTCATGGGATGCTAGATTTCAGAGCAGTGCTGCATAATTCACAGTCCATGCTATTGCTCAGTAAAAGAGCATTTAAATTCAAATGAACATTTGTGTATAATTACATTGATACACTAACAAATCTTAGGCTAAGTGATTAATTTTACTTACTATCTTGGAATTACTATCCATTGAAATGTTTTGATAGGAACCATGGCCATATCAAGACATTCACCCATCTATCTTGCTGTTACTTAAAATTCGAATAATTTAGTCATTAAGTCCTTGGGGGAATGAGGGAATTTCACACAGAAATTCTGATATTTTTCCTTCAATCACAGGGCTGAGGAACTTATGACAAAAATCAAGCTCATTTCACTTTCAGGAATATTGAGAAAAACATCTCAAGAGGAAAGATGTACCATTACTTGGTCTGCTTAAATTGGACAAACAATCATATGTGACCTCCAAAATCATTTTACATACTTAATGGAGCTTTCTTGAATCATAGATGTCCATAATTGGTAGAATGTTTCTTGACCTTTTCATGTAAGAATCATTGTAATATATATCCTAGAACAGATTTTATGAACAGCTAGTCCATAACTCACAACCATAATTGAGCCTGTAATTACAGTTTTAAATCATGCCAGCCATTAAGCAGATCATCAAATGATTGATCTGATTATACAACTTTTTTTGTGGTAACATAGATGCCAGTTTCTAGTAGAAAAGTTGTAAATTGCAGTTATATGATTGCAGGATGCTGTAAACAGCCTGTTGGAGAGTCTGTTATAACTTTGAACAGTTGCTAAGCAACCAATCATTAAGCAAGGATTACCTGTACAGATTCTTGATGTTAGAATTAGAACTGAAATTATTTTCAGGCACTTCAGCTGCCAATATGCTATTAAAGATTTTAATGACAGTAATAACAACCAATACTGGACTGGACTTACGAACAGTCACTTAGGTTATGATGGATCCACAAAAGTGTATTTATGACCTGGTTGAAAGTTCTGACAACTGCTTCCCTCATGCTTTCATGTGATTGTATTTTAGGCTTTTGGCAACCAGCCAACATTTAAGATCATTTGTAACATCCCACGGTCATGTGACTACAATTTACAATTTTGGAAAAAACTAGTGTTCACTTCCATTTATGGGCAAAAAAATGTACATTGTGCAAAATGGGTTTACTTAACAACAGCAGTGTTTGTTTAATGACCATGACATTCTCTTAACAACTGCCACAAAATATGATTGGTTTGATCACATGGGTGCCTTGACTTATAACCATCATGACAAACAACAGAAATTCTGGGCTCAGTTGTAAATTTGAGGACTACTTGAAAAAATTAAATTCAGTGATGGAAAGGAAAAAAACAGAAAAGTATAAAAGATGGAAAAAGAAAAGGAAAAAGAAGTAACACAAAGAAAAGAAGTCACTTCCAATTTATATTTACTCTATACATAAAGTATAAAAGGCCAGATTCTTTCTTTTTTAAAGACCTGTCCAAAACTCAGCTTGCTTACACGTTAAAGATAGATCAATTACTGAGAGGAAGTAGAACATTCTGTGGAAACGCCATGGCATTCACTTGCTGTTCTTTACCTAGAAGGAAACCACCTTCCCTGTTTCGCAATATGTAACAGATGCTTGGCCCACGCCTGAAGTAAAAGCAACCTCATTGCACTATTGATTTCAACAAGGAAACAGATTTCACTATCCAGGTCCCTGAAGGTTACTGTTTACTGAGCAATACTTATGTTTAATGAAACGAACATACTCGCTATTTTTCAGAAAAGGATATATTGCTTGCCAAGATGAATTCCTTTAAAAAGAATTACATTAATAAACTAGAACATTTATTACGGCAATGAATATACCCCTGTACTTCCTAGTTAGATGTGATTATTATTTGTTATGGGCAAAATTACAACTAAAGTAACAAGATGCCTTTTTTTTTTGATGCATGAGTTTTTAATATATTAAAATCACAAACAAGAAGCTTAAAAAAAGTTTTGCTGGATTTTTGATGGTGAAATTGCAGAAATTGTAAGGGCTTTTGGTGGTGGTTGGAGTTGCAATGCAAAAATGGTTTGACATTTTCTTCTCCCAGCATGTTTTTTTCAATGTTGCAATCCACTTTACAGCCTTAGCTTTTTTTAGTGGCTTCTCATCCAAGTGTGGATCAGCACTTGAACCAGCTTAGTATTTCAAGATCAGCCAAGATTCTCTGATTACTACATTGTGCAAATTTTAGTTGAAATCCTTCCATGGGATTTCTATGGTTAAAAGTCTGATAGGCTCTTTTCCCCCTTTTTGTTTTTCTCAAAAGAACACTTATCATGCTAGGTTTGGAAATCTTTAATCCTATATCAATAGTCCACATTTAGATAAGAGCTACAATGCAGAACAAAATTTTACATTTTCATCATTTCCATCCAAGGGTTCTGATATAGACTGAATATTATTTTTTCCGATTTCTTTTCTTTTCATTTTCAAAATATTATTTTTAAAGACATTTAAAGAGTGAAAATGAAAAGAAGTAGGAGAAAGAATAAAAAAATGCATAAGAACTTTGAGAGGAGGAATCTATGGAAAGCACAGTAGCTTTTCTGTTAGACATGTAAAAACATCAAGGCAGTGACCACAGCTAGGTAATCACATGGTCATGTCTACCATTTGCCTTCCTGGATGCTTCGTTTTTTCTTCATCTGGGATCTGATTGTAGCTAAAGACCCTTGACCATCTAAACAATTGAATTACAATGATGTGCTCATTTTATATCTTACATTTGCTTTTTTGATTGACTCCTATGTAAAAGAGGTGGATGAGCTTAAGATCCAGACTTTATATGCAACCCCAAGCTTCGTTTGTGGCCATTAGAACACCATCAAATGTTGCCACCAAATTTTAGTGTTAAATATATGCAAAGAGAAAGATATTATATTAATGAAGAAACCATATAATTAAGTTTTAATTAAATTATATGGTAATTTTATGCTACTTCTTTATTCTAGGTCCATTTTTTAAAAAGTGTGATCTCCTGGGCACAACTCAAAGGCTAAGTATGATCCTTTGGGGGGTGTGTGTGTGTGTGTGTGTGTGTGTGTGTTCTATTGCCTAATATTCCTTCTAGTTTTGTATGTTAGAGATGCTATTATGACATCCTTTTAGTTGGGTAATGGATTAAAATAATTAGTTAAATAATCAATTAAATACCATGGCAAGATGCTGAACAAGGTAAGTTAAAACTAATACCTTAGATGTTTAATTGTTTAGCAATCCAACAATTTTATTGAAATAGGTATATTCATAGGGTGTGGTCAAAAAAATCAACATGACAGCTATAATAAACTTAAAAAGCAGGATGAACTTAAATCATAATATAGTGATTATACTTATGGATACATTGTGGAAGAATCAAACTATAGTAAAAGATGCAGATATTATTAGGCTACATTGTCTAAAATATTCCTAACTTTAATGCAAGGTACACAGTGATTAGAGCTTTAATGCTCCAAATTTTTTGATCAGTTCTTAACTCAAAGCTTACCATTGAGTAAGTATCCTCAATATTATTAAACAGTATCAAGCATTTTCAATGCATGGGGATGACAATAAAATCATTATATGAGATTCAGAATTATTACAGTTTTGCACGGTTGTAGATGGAAAACCTCAACAGTGGTTGCATTTTATAGTTAACGGAAATGAACAGCAGGAACTTCTAATAAAGAGTATTTTTTGTCCTTTGTTTTTGACAAAGGAAACATGAGGTTTACAATAGTTCCTATCACACAGTATATATATTGCTTCACTGGCAGCAGCAAAAGGACTCTCACCGAGAATCTGAAATTTTAAAATTACTTATTTTTCAGCAGTTCTATTCTGGTCACTAGTGCTTCCACAAAATCCAGGTTGCCTAATGCAGAATTATAAAGATCTGCAGAAAAATATTGCTCTCTGTTGTGGAAGAAGATTTAATATCAACCCTACCAGATTCCAGCAATAGAAAAATGTAAAAACTAGAAACAACTATTTTGTTGTTGTTACTTTTTTTAATGAAGATTTTGAATAGAAAAAGTGATACAGATGAATTGGATTGCTGTAGACAATAGACAAAAAATCAAAATTATGTAGACTACAGGTGTTAAATTTGCTGTGTCAAGTAGCCATCATGTGATGTATTGTGACGGTTTTTCCCTTCACGGAGCTGGGGTGGGCATGGCCTGTACATGATGCATCTGGCCCATGGGCCACCAGTTTGATACCCTTGATGTAGACCTATACTACTTTTAACATAAAGTTATAGTCACTAAATCTTGCAAACCTGAATACATTTCCCTATTCTCTCCTTTTATCTTCATGTGAAGAAGAGAGGAGCTTATCTGAGATTTAGATCAGGGTATAGAAGGGGAACTCATCAAATTTGCAGATGACACTAAAGTGGCAGGATTAGCCATTGAAGGCAAACTGAGGATCCAAAAAGAACTTGACAAACTTGAACAATGGGCCTATCCAACAAAACAAATTTTAATGTGGAGAAAAGTAAAATTTTACATTTTGGCAGGAAAAACAAAGGTATAAGTACAGATTAGGTGAGATTAGCTCAAACAGTGACTGTGAGAGGGGCCTTGGAGTCCTACTGGACGATCACTTGAATATGAGCCAGCAGTGTGCAGCAGCAGCCAAAAAAGCTAATACAATCCTGGGTTATATAAACAGAGGCATAGAATCAAAATCATGTGTGAAGTATTAGTACCAGAGGTGGGTTTAAGCAAGTTCTGACCAGTTCTGGAGAACTGGTAGTGGAAATTTTGAGTTGTTTGGAGAACCAGTAGTAAAAATTCTGACTGGCCCCGCCTCCATCTATTCTTTGCCTCCCAAGTCCCAGCTGATTGGGAGGAAATGGGGATTTTGCAGTAACCTTTCTATGGATTGGGGAGGGAATGGTGATTTTACAGTATCCTTCCCCTGCCACACCCACCAAGCCACGCCCACCAAGCCATGCCACGCCCACCAAGTCACACCCACAGAACCAGTAGTAAAAAATTTTGAAACCCACCACTGGTCTGGAGGCTGAAACATACAAAGAACGGTTACAGGAATTGGATATGTCTAGTTTAATACAAAGAAGGACTAGGGGAGATATGATAGCAGTGTTCTAGTATTTGAGAGGCTCCTACAAAGACGAAGGGATCAAACTATTTTCCAAAGCACCAAAAGGCAAGGCAAGAAACTAACCAAGGAGAGAAGCAACCTAGAATTAAAGAGATTATCTGGCACCTCTGCAGTAGCTTCTCGTCCTGTCCTTCAAGGCCATTCCCTCTGAGTTCTATATAGCCTTAGTCTCTCAATAATATGGAGCTAGAAATGTCATCAATGAATGGAAAAGTTAGGGGCAGGGCTAACAAAAGAGGATGTATTCTTTGAAAGCAGGCATAAGAATTTTGTGTGGGCTAGAGGCATACTGAATTGTGTGGGAATGTGTGTATGGGACAAAAGGCATTGAAGAGGCACATTTATGGGGCCATATTTATGAGTAGGTTGTTCAGGAAAAGAGCCAAGAGAGGCTCTTTTGGATCGATGCGAGGCCCAGCCATTTGCTAATCTTGTCATGTCATCACACACATTTGACTTCTGTCATTTGGACAGAAGGAGTGTCAGCCTGTGAACCACACCGTGAGCAGGTGTGTCCCTTTTTTTTTTCTTCTCCTTTTGCAGGGGAGAAGGGATATAGTTTTTTAATTATTTCTGAACTAGTGCTTTACTATTTCTTCTCTTATACTG